CCTTTACTGTCGATACGATATCACTCTTATATGTATGATATATTGAACTTCCCTTACACGAAATTATTGTCGTATACGTGATCTCATGATGGCTGTTTCTTAACATTAAAACTATGTGTTGACTTCATAGTTTCCGTGTCATAAACCATGACCAAAAATAAAACTGATTTCGAATCATAAAAATGTCATGAAATGAATAAATATGACGCTTTTTTACACTGCATAATCTTTAAAAACTGTATGCTTGACTTCATATGCTATGTGTTCGGCGGAGTATACACAACTGGGTATGTTTATACTCTTCGTAGCGCAACCTATCTACTTCGTTACTGGCGCAAAACCTGTGGAAGTTTCTTTAACGTACGGCTACATCAAAAAGCTTAAAATATGCATGTTCACACCCGGTGATTGCTAAGATCACACCTGTAATCCTACAGCCTTTGTTCCATATTCAGAGAACAGAGGGTGGTTAAAAGGTAAAATACACCAAATAATCTTGTAAAAAGCTGCATGCCATTTGTGGAAAGAAAAGGGACGTGTTATGACAAGGGTATACACATCTGCTTAAAATATTACTGAACAACAAAATGAAAATAAAAACTTTGTATCAACTTTATTGATATGCATTATTTATCATGTAGAGAATAAAAATTACTGCCTCAACGAATGCACATTGTCAAATAATAATGACAGTTTACAGCGTCCTTGTTCAGTTATTTTCCGGTGAACATTTTAACATTAACCGTACTGTTGTAAAAACATTAACTGCCCATTGTCTGGATGAGAGATACTGTGTATACGTGTCAGTGGTTCTGAATTATTGCTATTACTTATGCCATTTAACTATCAATCAACTATTTAATTAAGCACCGTAAATTGTTCAGTGCATCTTTTCTCAACCATCATATGATATGAACATATATCACCCATTACTATATAGCCCGATGATGACGCACAACATGGATTACACAACAGTTGCTATGACAACTATCTAGCATTGTGATGAACTACCACAGATGAAGTACACAATAGTCCACATGGCAGATGAAACATCAACCTCATCCTTACTAACTTACTACTGTGACGATCAAGGCGACTTGGTAATATCTTCAAATTTACTGCTAGATCGTATCGAATGTGGCAGACATCCCTGTATATAAATGCTCATATTCGATGTATAAATTTCAGGTTTAAGATATTGTGTATGCAAGAAAACAGATTGCCTAAAAAGTCTTTATAACATGCTTGTTCATTTGGACTTTGGTAAAGTGACGTGGGCGTCTCATGTAAGAAAACTTCTGTTTTCACATGGTTACGGTTTCGTATGATTAAGCCAGTCAGTTTGTGACGCAAGTTTGTTTTTAACTCTGTTTCGTGAAAGAAGTCTTAATATGTTTAATCAAGAATAGCATTCAGTTATAGTTAATAGTTTACGATATGACTCTTATAGAATATATAAATCATTACTCCAGCCAGAGAAATATATATTGATTTTAACATCACATGAATTAAGATATCAATTTATATGTTTTAGGTTAGGCTTGATCAACCCAATGGTCAATAAAGGAAGACGTTTTTATATTCAATTTGAAAGATGCAGGAGAATGTGCCCTCTGTGTAATTTAGATGATGGAAACTGAAATTCATTTTTACTTGTATGTCCTTTTTATGAGGATTTGCATAAGAAATATATAACTGAATATTATCTATGTAAGCCACCTTCATTAGCTTTTAAACTACATGTACTTCTTTCATCACCTGACCAGCCTGTAATACTAAAGCTGTCATACCAAACTAACGGGAAAAAGAAACGATACCAAATCGAAATCACTGATATTACAAAACGACAAACCACCATTGTGAAAAAAGAAAGTGAATTTTAATAAAAGGTGTATGGGCAACATGCATGGGCAACATGCACATGCACCTGTTATTAAAATTCATTTTCTTTTTTCACAATGGTGGTTAATAATAATATCAGTGATTTCAATTTGGTATCGTTTCTTTTGTCCTTTCGTCTATATTAATTATGCTCTTATCAAACGTAACAATTTGATAAAATTATACAGTTTTTCAGATCCATCGTAATTCACTATTTGTAACGTAATTTATTGCCTGTAACATGATTCACTGTTTGGAACACAAATTACTACTTTTTACAACATATGCATAATGTATAATGTATAATTATGTATAACACCAATGTATATGGGCCTCAGGCCTTTTGTCCAATAAACATATTTGACTTTGACTTGATCGCTATATGTTGATGAAACGATAAGTAGGTTTCCCCAAAATATTGCTCACAATACAGGAGTTAACGAGATGCTTGCCTTATATTTTCAGTTATCATCTGTACATCATTACTGTCTGTCTTCTGTTGCATTATGATATTTCGATGTCCAAAATTGTAATAGTTTCGTGGGTTCGAATCCCACATTCCCCCTAATCATGTGCTCACAGGTCTTAGGAGTGATAAACGTCAGTGATCAAGCTGGATATAACTGAAGTGTTAATAGCGTTTAACTTCACTCACACGCTCCCTCGCTCGCTCGCGCACGCACGCACGCACGCACGCACGCACGCACGCACGCACGCACGCAAATACTCGCTCACACACACTCTCACACATTCACTCAACATTAAACTCGAATACCCAGGTAAGTATGAACAGGAATTTATTCAATGTTCCGATTGAATGCAACAAACATTATTTGAGGCTCCATATACCTGGTCCTGCAAACAATATAATTTTGTCAAATGGTTTCCATTCATATCTACACAAAAAAGGTCCGACACGAATCCCGTTCATGTAATCATATATATATATATATACATATATCTATACATAATAAAAAAAAGCATAATATTTTACATTATGGATAGGGGTGAAACGGTACGCCCTTACCATGGAATGGTACGTATTGCGGTGCAAGGCTTTCGGTTCGGTTCGGTATATGAGACCATAATGCAGAAAATTGACAAGACCCCAAAATTATACTGTTTAATAACAAAAATAATGGACAAAAATAAACATAGTCTTTGTTATTTTGAATGAACAAAACTGTCATTTAAAAAGGTTAATAAAATGAAGATACGAAAACCGAAAATACCGAATGTTTGGATTGCATTAAGGTATACCGAACCGAAGGCAAAATACCGCGGTTCTACTAACATCGCGATATACCGTTTCAAACATAATTATTAGAAACGATGAATGCTTGGAAAATAAGGTTGATGAAGCGGTAATGACGATTTTAGGCTGTAATACTCATTATTATTTTTCTACAATCACAAAAGGATAATGTTTTCAAACGCTTACTGAAATAACAAAGATACTAATCAACTCTTGAATCGATTAAATATGTATTCTGTACCCATCTACAGTCATAAGTGTTCTATATTTATGTCTATTCGTCGAGTTTTAAGCAGCTTTAAACCACAAATGTTTCTATGACCTCTGATAGCATCCTACATGAAAACAGGCCCCATTAATCCACACATTCTGCTGCCCATTTGTGGGAATAAGACGCTCATAACATTGATTGTGCATAACATTGATGGACATTTTCACCTGTGTTATTTAATATTCTGTTTATATCCTGTGACTGGTACAGCCCGTTAATTAAGTCTGGTAAAGTTTAAAGAAAGGTATATGTGTTGATTTTTATTTTGATATATCTAAGCGCCGTGTTAAAATGAGCTGAAATACAAAATGGATCTATTGGGATATAGTTGAGGTGAGATAACTAATGTGAGATCAAGAAGGTCTCTGGTGCCAAATATGAACAAAGAAATGGCATCAGTATCAGAGTTTTCTTGACTCGCGTTGGTAGGAACTGATGCATGCATGTATGTATGTATGTATGTGCGTGCGTGCGTGCGTGCGTGCGTGTGTATGTATGTATGTCTATGTCTATATGTCTGTGTGTGTAAGTGCATGTATGTATGTATGTATGTATGTATGTATGTATGTATGTATGTATGTATGCATGCATGCATGTATGTATTTGTCTATATGTATGTGTGTGTATGTAAGTGCATGTATGTATGTAAGTGCATGTATGTATGCATGCATGTGGTGTGTGCATGCATGTTTGTGTGTCTGTATGTTTGAGTGTCTGTCTTATCTGCCTCTCTGTCTGTCTGTCTGTATGTGTGTGTATGTATGTATATATACATATATATATATATATATATATATATATGTGTGTGTGTGTGTGTGTGTGTGTGTGTGTGTGTGTGTTTTTCGTGATGTGTATTATACACATGAACATAATCACTAGGATTATGCGAACCGGGAATGGACGTGTTAGTTGATGAAATATGATCAGCATGTTAATGACGATTGATACATTTAGCAAGAATAATTGTTACATTGAATATAAAAATTTATGAGCACGTGAAATGTCATGACACCCAAGCATGTCACAACAAATTAGGGACTGTTCGGTCCACACCTTGATCAGTTCAGTGAAGCATATCACATAATATCACAGCTGTTCGTGGCTTGCCGCCAACGGCGGACACATTATCACGTGATCTCGAAATGTACACTTATCATGAATCAACATAAATTTGCATGTGACATATTGCAATAATTAATTTAGCGACTTGGTTTCATCATCTGTGGCAGGAAAGCCTGCAGTGAAGATCCGAGACGCTTTAGATTGGTATGATGCTGAAAAATCTAAAAACAGAATTGGGGTGAACAGGATTCGAACTTACAATCATAGGATCCTATCGTGCTCAAGGGACGCAACGCTGCTCAGCGAATTGCGGTGGCTTAAACATTTGGGTCACCGATATCGCCATTAGAGTTTTTGTGAAATAGATTAATATTATTACAATAATTTGCGTAATTTCATTCTGATTATGTTCAGTCACTATATGGCTGAAATATTGCCGAGGTGACGTTAAATTCTAACTCACTCACTCACTGATTATGTTCCAAGAGACACCATTACATGTGTGAGGGTTTCACCAAAAGGGTAAAACCGTCAACAGCTGCATCCCTTCGGGATTCCATCCCTCCCATTTGCCTTGATAAAACTAAAATACTGTTAAAGGCGGCGTTAAACCAAATTCCCTCGTGTAGATATCTTGTCAATGCCATCGGAGTACCTGTCAATATCTACACGTCCTCTTTGCACATCAGAAGCATAAATGCAAAATATGGTGTTTAGAGTGTGGATTGATTTGAATTATTTGCATGTTAATTACAATTTCTTCAAGTAAATGGATTTTAATAATGATCAACTTTAACACAAGTTAAATTCGTGATTAAAGTAGGTTTGATGTCATGCTATACTTTATTGTAAATATAAGTTACTTGTAAAGGCATATGCATCTGTTAGATAATGTAAAAAATATATCTGATTTACAGTCATCAAGCATATACTGTTCAAAAGAACATACACATGAATATAGTGTTGCACGGCTCGGGAAATGTTAGAGATTTACGTTAAACATTTGTGTCTGGAAAGCAAATATTGTAATGAACTGTGCATACATCAATGCTCTATGGTCAACATCAGCAAAATGCATGTTGCAAAACGATGTGTCTCTTTAATGATCTAAGTTGAACATCAGCATTAAGTAAACATCTACTGTAAAAAGATGTTGCTATAATCTATGGTTTTGGAAGAAACTAATTACTGAAAAGGGAAGTGGATATTTCGTATATTTATGGTAAACATACCTTTTGGATTGTATTGCAAGGCACTGGGGATATTTACGTGTTGAAGATCAGCGTTAGGAAAACAATTAATGAAAGACTGTGGAAATGTACTTGATCTCTATGGTAAACATTAGCTTTTTAAAACACAAACATGTAATAGCAATCTCAGTGTGTATTGCCATCATCACTGACCTCAAGTACATGTATCACATGTATTGCAGATGCTAAATTCCAGACATTCGAACAAGCATATTCTTGGCATAGTTCAGGTTAAATACCTACCACAAAACTGCTTCATTTGAAACGATTTGAGAAGGGTTATGGGACAAGATTGTTACATGGTGTCAAATGGTTTCGAAATGTCTTCGTGGATTATAAAACCACCAAGTTTGAAAATCTCCATTTGTGTTCCTTTGGAAAACTTTGGTGTTAGACGATGTGGCAGCGGAGTCCAGATACGTCATGACTTTCAGAGTCTCTGTGATGGATCAGCATCTTGGTGGATTTCTTTACATGGCAGTAAACACATACTTGTCATTGACAGGATGCATCTGTGTGGCGTTGCCGTTGCCCACGTTGGGACGTGGCGTGTACTGGGAGACGGCAGGGGTGAGGATGTGCCCGGCTGGGGGTTTGGGATGACGATGTGGGTGTTTGTCAAGGTCCTCAATGGATGGTGGCTCAGTTTTCTGGCCATGAACATCGTGCATGGCTTGCACTTCCACGCTGTCGTAGCCGACGGTGTGGATGCCGCTTTCAAAGCCCCTGTTCAGAAGACCGGGAACGACTGGAAGAGATGGAAAGTGAAGCTAGGTTACTTGGGAAAACGATGAAGCAAAAGTATTTTACCTCGACGGCAGCATGAAAGGTATTTGGTGTGAATTAATTCATGTGACAGTACAAAGCCAAGGGTTTTTTTATAAATTTGCAAATTTTACGACAACAAACTGACGTCAACAACATTGACTGCATGATCTCCATTCAGAGATAGGTATGTACACACATAAATACTGTGGCTGATACATAGATGTGTAATCACATAAATACTGTCACAGGCATAAAGATGGGTAAACACATAAATACCGTCACTGACACAGATGTGTAAACACATAAATACTGTCACTGACACAGATGTGTAAACACACAAATACTGTCACAGGCATACAGATGAGTAAACAGATAAATACTTTCACTGACACAGATGTGTAAACAGATAAATACTTTCACTGACACAGATGTGTAAACAGATAAATACTGTCACAGGCATACAGATGTGTAAACACATAAATACTGTCACTGACACAGATGTGTAAACACATAAATACTGTCAAAGGCATACAGATGTGTAAACACATAAATACTATCTCTCATACCCATATATTTGCACACATAGATAATGTCAGTGATGCAACAATGTATACACAAATCCATACTGTCACTGATACCTAGTATATATTTACACACAAAGATGTACTCTCACTGATACCTAGTATATATTTACACACAAGGATGTACTGTCACTGTTACCAAGTATATATTTACACACACAGATGTACTGTCACTGATACCTAGTATATATTTACACACAAAGATGTACTCTCACTGATACCTAGTATATATTTACACACAAAGATGTACTGTCACTGATACCTAGTATATATTTACATACAAAGATGTACTGTCACTGATACTTAGTATATATTTAAAAACAAAGATGTACTGTCACTGATACTTAGTATATATTTACACACAAAGATGTACTGTCACTGATACTTAGTATATATTTACACACAAAGATGTACTGTCACTGATACCTAGTATATATTTACACACAAAGATGTACTGTCACTGATACCTAGTATATATTTACACACAAAGATGTACTGTCACTGATACTTAGTATATATTTACACACAAAGATGTACTGTCACTGATACCTAGTATATATTTACACACAAAGATGTACTGTCACTGATACCTAGTATACATTTACACACAAAGATGTACTGTCACTGATATACCTAGTATATATTTACACACAAAGATGTACTGTCACTGATACCTAGTATATATTTACACACAAAGATGTACTGTCACTGATACCTAGTATATATTTACACACAAAAATGTACTGTCACTGATACCTATATATTTACACGCATAAATAATGGCACTGACACCAATATATTTACTCATATAACTACTGATAAGTTTAGAAACAGATATGCAAACATAGAAAACAACACATTTTTTGGACAATGTTTCTCATTGCTTAAATATATGTTGATTTTTTTGGACAAATTGGCATATAATTATTTTAAGATATTAACCCCCGAGCTTCATTACACAAACTCTAAAACACTATTATCAGTGTTAATATGCGTTAAATGTTCAAAACTAACGTCTCCTCAATCGCAATCCAATCGCGAAAAGCGTACGATCCCATACGATCTGGTAACACCAACGGTCGCGGTCAGACTGCGAACGGAACGCGACAGAGGAGACATTAGTTTAGAAGAGTTGAGATTTGCTTAGATATTGGGTGATGTCAGTTAGTGGCTTGAAATATATAGTCTGTAGCGGTAGAAGAAATGGTAAAGGTGAGTGAGAATGGTTTTACGCCGCTTTTAGCAATATGCCAGCAATATCACGGCGGGGAAATGGACTTCCCACATTGTACCCTTGTGGGGAATCGAACCCGGGTCTTCGGCGTGACGAGCGAACACTTTAACCACTAGGCTACCCCACCGCTACCAGTAAAGGTGAAGTTATCAGGCATGATAATCGCAATAAAGCAGGATAACCACAGTAGTAAGAACACATTAACATATAATTTATTGAAAACAATGGATATAAATGGTATTCAAAAACGATGCCACCCAATGTTTGAACAGAAAAGACATTACACCGAGAACAAAGTATGATACACACAACATTTGCACAGTAAAGCTGAGTAATACGATACAATAACTTAAGGTATAAATACAAGTAATATGTTGCAACTGTTTCTTTGCAACTGTTGCAATCACTCATGTATCCTCGTGACTAATAGGTCACATACAAAATGTTGTTTCTCGTCACTCATGAAAATATGTAAAATGGGTAGGTAGTTCGAATTCATAATATATTTTACCTGTCGATCTTGAAAATCTGGCATCCCGACCCATAACACAACACTCAACCCCAGTGTGCGAAATAGCCACTGCCCCGCTAGCCCGCTAGTCCGTGGCTAGTAAAAGACCAGTCGGGTCAGTAAATCTCCATTCATGGAGTCATTGTGTAAATATATCACTCTCTCGGACTTGTTAAGTTATAACACACTTTTAAATCATGCAAGAGTATGGCCTGATAAAAATGTTCATCATATTAGCAGCTTAATGATAAAACCCGTGTCCACAGTGAAATTTCGGGCTAGAGAATTATTTTGTGGACTAGTAACTTTCAGGCATAGCAAGCCCGACTGGCTACAAAATTTGGAAACTATTTCTCTAACTGCTCCACCCCATAAAATTCAGTCATATCCTTCCTGAAAAGATGTCCTCAACAGAATCACGAAAGACATAGCCTGTCGTTCACGTGAGTATCATTATGAATGCAGCCTTGGAATGGAAAACCAACCCTAAGATAACGAAAAGGAGCCGAATTTAGTAGAGCGGCCCTTCAAACAAAGTAGATCGGTTAGTACTGAGGTACAATATCAATGTAAGGCACAATGTGGCTATGAATTGCTTGTGTCCATAGTTCTCAACAATTTTGTACAAGGATGCAAGTCCGCTTCTGGACTTGTCTATCTGTGGAACTTGAGTAAGAAGTAATTCCTGATATTTGGAGCTGAATGCTGATGATTGTATTGACCAGTTACAGGCACAAGTGAGTTCGGTAACAAAATGTTTGTACCGCCAGCGGAGGTATTTCCGACAGTGTTTTACAGTCCATTCTCGACATCTGTGAGAAATGTACCCAGAGGCAAGAACGGGCACTTGAATATGGGCACACGCCCTAAGATGTCCTAAGATGTCCTAAGATGTAGGATGTCCATTGACTCTTAATAAAGCTGCGTCAAACAATATATGTCGTGACAGTCATAGTTGTTCCACCGGAAACGCTCCTTGGCATAGACGGTCCTGCACAGATGCAAGATACACGTGACTTCGAAAGAAAGTAATGTATGTAAGAAAACTACCTCTTTTTATATGTGTGATAAAAGTAAAATGTCACAACTAGACACTTAATATTTTTTGTATTAATTACCATCTCTGGTTTAAATTTTCATTTGTTTCATTAAAACATACTGTTTTAGTCTTTCGTTGCGACATTTTAGAGTGCGCATGTGCAGTGTAAGTGTGTAGGAAATTGGACAGTTCCAAGAACCATATTGTAGTGTACATTGATGCATTGTGCTTAATATACCTGGGTCTATCCCCGCTGAAATAAGAACGTTATGGGTAACAACCGTTATTACCAAGGGTAAAGAAGAGAGAGATGAACAGGAACAGGTACTGCTTGGTACCGCAACTGATTACCATATTTTGGAAATGGATTGATGGACAAGACAATGTTAGTAAATGGATATTTGATTTATATGTTATTTGCACATAAAACCATTCAGCATCTGAATTCACACAACTGACTTTTACACATCTGAGTTGCGTCCCTTTGGTGTATCAGGATATTGTGATAACAACTTGCATTTCGCATTAAAGCTGGTTTTGCAGTATCATTGACCAAAGTACTATCGTAAAATTACTGTCTCATATCAGACTTTCTTCTTCTACTTTGAAGGCCTGTGACATGGTTTAAACTCTTTTTGAACTAACTCAAAGCGATGCATATATGTTAGAGAATAGAACCCGAGAACATCCGGGTTAGAATTGGTCTTCAGCAACCCTTGCGTGTCGTAAGAGGCGATTAATAGGATCGGGTGGTCAGGCTCGCTGACTTGGTTGACACAAGTCATCGTATCCCAGTTGTGTGGATTGATGCTCATGCTGTTGATCACTGGAGTGTCTGGTCCAGACTCGATTATTTACAGACCGCCGTCATACAGCTGGAATATTGCTGGAATATTGCGGCGTTTAACAACGAACACATAAAAAATTATTAGAGTAGAGGGGTTGACAAATACATATTAGGAATATTACCTGAAAGATTAATGTTTAAGTGATATATTGGTGTTATCTGTGTTCAAGCACATACACGTACACATGCATGAGCGTGTGCATGATGATTAGTGCGATATCTTACCTTCTGTGTAGTTCCGTATGTCTGTGCAAACAAATCATTATGATCGTATGAACCATATCCCCTAGCATGCACTATTTGATAATAAAATCTCATGCCATAAAGCAGGATTGTGACTGAATACAGTGAATCCCCGTTAATCCGTCCTGGAAAACTGTCCGGATAAACTAATGTCCGGACTACAGAGTCATGGGTTGACTGGGTTCCTCACCACCCTAACAATAGCAGCAGCAACAACATCAACGACGACGTCATAACAACAACATATTGACTCATAAATTATTAAATTAAATATTTCAACTGTTTGGTATCGAATGAATGCAAATGCTGAAATGTGTAATATTTGTTTATGAAATACATTTACTTTCGAGAACAGTATATAATAAGCTGCTATGCTCGTGTTAATTGACAGTTTGTTATACACAGCAATTACATCGCTCTAAATATGTGGAATGTAATGCATATCGGACCTGCTTCAATTGCTACAACATATTTTTTTCTGACTAAAACACCATCTGTAAGTCTCTTGTGCGAACCAACGTTGGAACCAGTTTAGGGACCGTTCATAATCTATGGCTAGTAGGTGGGTGGGTGGATGAGGTGGTGGTGATATTTTAAGGGGGGTGGTCACCAATATTGCAATATTGTCTTTTGGACTTGGGTGGGTTGGGGGCATCAATTTTGTGCACATGTACGGGTGGGGGAAGGGATGGGGATGTCAGCAATTTTGTTCATGACCAGATTGAAATTTTATACTTAAAAATCATTGGAAGGGGGGCATTGAGTTCGTACATGACAGGTGTGTGTGTGTGTGTGTGTGTGTGTGTGTGTGTGTGTTCACTTACTTTGTACATAAATGTTAGGGGGGTCATTGAAATTGTACATGCCTCTCCATAAAAATCATCATCACCCACTAGCCATACATTATGAACGGTCTCTTAAGAGGGTCCATTTTGCAGTTGGTTGCTTTGTTCGTGCAGATAGATGTCCACACAGAAATAAGAACCGGAAAGCTGACCGACTGGTTTTCGGATTAGCGAGGTTTCACTGTGAACACATGTTCCCAAGATGCACAAAACATTGGACGAAACATGCATAGTATGAAACGATTCTCGAGTAAAATCTCATGAAAATCATTGTGATGTTAAACAATTCTAGATATTAGAAACGCTTCATACAACAATAGGTATTATGGAAAGAATCATGTCATATCAAGATTAACACACATTCATATTACATGAATTATGTATGTCAAGCATTTTACCTACGTTATCTTTCTATATTCTACGTTATCTTGCTAAACGTTACTCTAGCTACGGTTGTCATCGAGGTAAGTAATGTAATTGTCATGCACTAGAATAATGGTTTTAGAATCACTATTGACACCTAGATATTTATGAGGATCTGTAAAGTCATTGTAAAGTATGTATTGGTATAAACACATACATACACGCGCAAGTTAAATTGTCAAAGTATTGCTATAACCCGTTTGTTCACAAGAGTGAGTGGGTGGGTATGGTTTTGCGCGGCTTTTAGCAATATTCCAGAGGCGGGGACACCAGAAATGGGCTTCACACATTGTGCTCATGTGGGGAATCGAACCCAGGGCTACGGCGTGACGAGCGAACGCTTTAACCACTTGGCTACCCCACCGCCCCCGTTCACAAGAAGAAACAGAATAGCCGAGTCTTTTACCTGGTCACACTAGTACGTTACAACAACTCAAGTTAAGATCTTTACCAACAGCTGAACAGTGTCACTACGTTACATGTACGTTACAATGACTTCATCTACGTTTTGTTCCCGAAAACGTCATCATTCAATTACATGTACAGTTCAACCTCCATTTTTTACCAAATGCTGAATCTTTTTTCATTCCATCATTTGTACGTCTTCAACAATTCAGTCTACGGTTTCTATGATCGGCTAACAGATTTTCACACAATGTGCGTGTGCACGTAAGTATACAGCTCCGTCAGTAATGCTTACCATGAGCTGAATGTTTTTCACACATTCTTATGCATTAAGTAGATTCGTAGCCGACTAATCGGGTCTTGATAGACGTTTAGAAGTTTGAAGAACATCATGAAACATCGTTACAATCAATAGAGATGACATGTCCTGATATATCTACATATCGAACGCATTAGTCTAAAGCTTTTATCTACATTGTTCAGGGGAGGGCATCGGGACTTTCTGTCCACATGTACACCCACTTTGTGTACACTGTGTACGGAGACATACCTTGCTGGACCTCCGACAGTCTTCCGTCCTCCAAGACCTGCAGGATGTGCTCCACCCAGCCATGACCATACGATTCCATTGGGTAGGCCGGCTCGCCGTGCTTGGGTATGTCTAGACCTGCATCGGGAGACAGGGCAACTTGTAACAACTTGGTCAGACATTGGTCTATATGTAAAAGTGAAGGAGTTGTGCTCTATCCCGCTTTTAGCAATATTCCAGCAATAACACGGCGGAGGACACTAGCAATGGGCTTCGCACGTTGTACCCATTTGGGGAATCAAACCAAGGACCCCATAGTGACGGACGCACGCTTTAGACACCCCCCCCCCCCTCTTATATATAGTGTAAGTATGCATTAACACTTGTAAGACGTAAAAGTTTGTAACTTGTAATAATTAGAACCAGCACAAGGGATATGATTTTGTGATTTTAGACTTGGTAAAACTGGTTACAAATATACCCGTATGTCTTAATTTACACAGAACATACACATACACGCTGTGTGTACAAGTAATCGTCTACTCAGCCTAACACGATATCATCGATGGTGTGTGTGTGAAACTGTTTTTATTTGTCCGCTATCTTCATCACGGATCCGGAGTGTCAGGTTTATGAGCAGAAAAAAAACAAACAAAAAAACATGATGCAAATTTAAACGTTCCATCTAAGTGAAACCAAAAGGCAGTGTTATGATACTGACAAACGGAAAATTAAAATCAGAGCAAATCACGGATTCAAATCCATGGCCATAGGATCCGGACAATCTACGGGAGACAACCTTGATCAGCGACTTAGATCGACTAAGACCACTGGGCCACATATCAGGTTGCACCTACCTTTCCTCTCCAGATCCTCAGGGACTCGGAGGATGCCCATCAGTCGTAGAGTACCGAACATGAGGAGACACAGGACAGCTGACCACGCAGCAATGGAAACCACCCCTGTCAATTGCCATGCCAGACGCTGCCAAACAAGGATTAGGAATTATTATTTAATCCGATTAAGATCATATTTAAGTCAACTTACAGTTTAATAACATCGTTCGCTCTTTTGTTGTTTAAAGCCACAATCAGCAATATTCCAGCTATATGTCGGCGGTCTGTAAATAATCGAGTTTGGGCCAGACAGTCCAGTGATCAACAGCATGAGCATCAATCTACACAATTGGGATACGATGACGTATGTCATCCAAGTCAGCGAGCCTGACCACCCGATCCCGTTAGTCGCCTCTTACGTCAAGCATGGGTTGTTAAAAGCAAATTCTAACCCGGATCTTCACGGATCTTTTAATATCGGATATAATGGAGCAACTGATAATATACAGACACATTCCGCAATATCCCTAATCCCATAATGTGTTTATGTCAATAGGGAAAGGTTTCTTTGCATCTTGATACAAAACACAATGGAACACATCAATCCAGGATTTAGACATTACGAGGTAGTTCATGTCAAAGGTCATGTTTCACAATGGTATAGATTTGTATTCATGACGTTTGTTCAAGATGAAGGTGTACTTTGATAGGTAAGTTAATGAATACCCAATGGTTATGATAATTATAATAATATCATTAATAATTAATTGTGCGCCAGAGCGCTATTTCGATACATAAGCATGTTCAAGGGGCACAATCTGATTATTATTACCCCGGATAGCCCAAGCTGCCTGTGAGGCGCTAGAAGGTTAATTACATGACTTATCCCACCGGGTACCCATTTTCTGCTGGGTGAACAGAGGCAATTTTGAAAAAACCTCACTTGCCTAAGGTGAGACCATATGTATCATATGTGCTTAGTTGTGGGGCAGGACTGAAGTCCTACAAACGCTCAGGAGTCAAGCTACCAAACACGGTCACCCATCCAAGGACACCCCGCGCTCTACGCTGCTTAGCTTCAACTGATTTGTGACCTGAGCCCTATGCACAGGACCTCACACCACCACACCACCACCACACATGAGCCAACTTACCAAGCCTGATTGTGTATCCCACGCAAACACAATCCCTTCATCTCTTTTCAAGAATGCGACAGCGATAGCGCCCCAAAGACCTCCTCCGAAATGAACTGTGAATTGACAAGGGTGGAAACATATTATTTATGGACGATAAAAGAGACGTTATAGAAGGGTCGTTCGTCATGTGGCTGGTATGTATCTGGACGGATGGTAAAACATAAATACTATCACGTTGTCATGACCATCTGTGACGATTTGTGACGCTCTGTGACGCTCTGTGATTCTCTGTGTGTATCTTTTCTCTGTTAACCCTTATGACTTTCTATGATACAGCGTGACACTCTTTTATGCTGAGTGTGGCTCAGTGACTCTATCGCGTACTGTTACTCTCTGGCTCTATGACACTCCGTACAAATGTATTTGCGATTACGCTATTTGACACACAATAGACCCATGGATGTCCGGGTTAGAATATTAATCTTCAGTAACCCATGCTTGTCGTAAGAGGCGACTAACGGGATCGGGTGGTCAGGCTCGCTGACTTGGTTAACACGTGTCATCCGTTCCCAATTGCGTAGATCGATGCACATGCTGCTGATCACTGGATTGTCTGATTCAGACTCGATTATTTACAGACTGCCGCCACATAGCTGGAATATTGCTGATTGCGGCGTAAAACTAAACTCACTCACTCACAATAACTGTCTTGGACACCTTATGGCCCCATGCTTTTTATACTCTCCCCAAAAAAGAAACGCATCATGAAAATAGCAATTTCATGTAGCAATGAATTAAAACGTGATTCATTTTACAAAAGGTTTTGCTCAGTTTATGAGTCCTATGGTGTTTATGTTTTGAAACATCACAACAAAACGCACCATCCGTAAAATACCCGTATTTAACAGCATGATTTTCAATTTCGGCGTGTAGTGTCACAGAATACACAATTCACATGCAATGGAAGTGAAAGTTGGGGATCAGATAGTCTCAATGATGGGTATAAAAGGTTGATCGCTGTCTGTCGATTAGTCACTGTATTTGGAATATTGTTGACGAACGCAAAATGCCACGTCTAAGTGAAGCCAACCGTCATATCGCCATTGGTTTGCTTGAAGCGGGCCAGTCTCAACGTGCAGTTGCCCGACGCATGAATGTTCACCAAAGCACCATTTCACGGCTCTGGGAGAGATATCGCCGGCAGAATGCGGTAGCAGATGCCCCTCGTAGTGGGCGACCTCGAGCGACCACTGCGGCGCAGGATCGCTACATCCGGGTACATCACCTGCGTCGTCGAACAGCTACGGCGACCAGTACCGCTCGACAAATACCCGGATTGAGGAGGCTTTCTGCACAGACCGTCAGAAACAGGTTGAGAGAGGCTGGTTTACGTGCCAGAAGACCTTATTTTGGCCCTGTGCTTCGACAACAACATCGTCGACATCGAGTTCAATGGTGTACCAACGTTCAGGCCTGGAACCTACCGAATTGTCGTAGAATCTGGTTTAGTGATGAATCACGATTTCTATTGGAACGACGCGATGGAAGAATGCGGGTGTACAGACGTCGACGTGAACGTGAACGTCGACTTTCCTCGAGTTGGTGCCAAAGACGGATAAGTCTGCATTCCCAGTGTGCAATTTCGCTATATTTCATTGACTCATAACGCCTACAAGATGTTTCAAAATAAACATAAAAATACAGTTGAAATTCCTATATGCGTTTCTTTTTTGGGAGAGTATATTTCTTAATCGACTGTGACTTTTATTTCTTACTGTCACTGTGGCTCTGTGATACCCCAAGAGTCTCAACGACTCTCTGTGACACTAAGAACGTGTCTCTACATCTCTACAACTGTACATGACAATGTCATATTCTATGCAACCATACGACTATCTTTGATACAACTTGACTCAATATGATCCTCTGTGGCTTCCCATGACTATGTGAAGCTCAACCTCTGTACTTGATGACTGTGTGACATGACCACGATATTTCTTACCCGCAGTTGCATCAAGTGGGTCATCTATCTTCAGTTGCAGCATGATGTATGACCACAACTTAAAGGAGATGGCGGCAAAGAAGCCGACGACAGCGGCGCCCCAGGGGTAGTAGACGTTGCACCCGGCACATGCTGCTACCTACACAAGGCCAACATTACAACAACAACAACAACAACAACAACAACAACAACAACAACAACAACAACATCTACTAATATTGCTATTACTACGGTTTACAGATTGAGATGTAAAATACAGCAGAGAGGGTTCGGGTGATCCTGGCACAGTCAGGCTGGTTAGGTTCATCATCATCTAGTAGTAGTAGTAGTAGGAGTAGTAGTAGTAGTAGTACTAGTAGTAGTAGTAGTAGTAGTAGTAGTAGTAGTAGTAGTAGTAGTAGTAAATAATGTCTGTAAAAAATAGAGTCTGGACCAGTGATCAACAGCTTGAGCATCGATCTGCGCAATTGGGAACTGATGACACGTGTCAACCAACCCAGCGAGCCTGACCACCCGATCCTGTTCGTCGCCTCTCACGAGAAGCATTGGTTAGTGAAGGCTCCTTCTAGCCCGGACCTTCACGGGTGAGAAGTAGTAGTAGTAGTAATAGTAAGTAGTAGTAGTAGTAGTAGTAGTAGTAGTAGTAGTAGTAGAAGTAGTAGCAGTAGAAGTAGTGGTAGTAGTAGTAGTAGTAGTAGTAGAAGTAGTGGTAGTAGTAGTGGTAGTAGTAGAGCAGCAGCAGTAGTAGTAGTAGTAGTAGTAGTAGTAGTAGTAGTAGTAGTAGTAGTAGTAGTAGAAGTAGAAGTAGCAGTAGTAGTAGTAGTAGTAGTAGTAGTAGTAGAGTAGTAGTGGTATTAGTAGCAGTAGTAGTAGAAGTGGTAGTAGAAGACGTAATAGTAGAAGTAGTAGTAATAGTAGTAGCAGTAGTAAAAGTAGTAGTAGTAGAAGTAGAAGTAGTAGTAGTAGTAGTAGTAGAGTAGCAGTAGAAGTAGTAGTAGTAGACTGAGTGAGAGTAGCCAGCTTTTAGCAATAGTAGATGTAGAAGAAGTACTAGTAGTAGTAATAGTTGTTGCCAAGCTTTAACCAAGTAGTAGTAGTAGCAGAAATAGTAGTAGTAGGTGGAGTAGCCTAGTGGTTAAAGTGTTCGCTCGTCACGTTGAAGACCCGGGTTCGGTTCCCCACATGGGCACTATGTGTGAAGTCCATTTCAGGTGTCCCCCGCCGTGATATTGCTGGAATATTGCTAAAAGCGGCGTAAACCGAAAGTCACTCACTATATAGGCTCGCTGATTTCGCTCTAACACTGCTGGTATGCGGATCTACAGATGTACAGCATCCTGCTGCTGGACACTCACCATGCCAGTAAGTGCGCCGTTCAGGGCGTTGAGGAGACTCCAGTAACGGTTGCCGAAGTAGCCGGTTTTGTGTATGAAGAGGGAGACGAAGGCGGACATTGAACCTGAAATGATGGTGTTGACGACGGAGAGACTGACGCTGGCGCCGTTGCCGTCACCGGAGATGCTGAGAGCTGACCCTCCATTGAAAGCAAGGAACCCGAACAAGAGGATGAAGCCGCCGAGAGCTGCGAACTGAGACAATATTACTCTAATAACTTACGATATGTCATGTATAAGGTCTAATGATACGGGATACGTCATGTTTAATGTATAACATGATATGTCATGTCTGTTGTCTAATAATACGGAGTACGTCATGTATAGGGTATATCAACATGGTACGTCATGTATAGGATCTAATACTACGGAGTACGTCACGAATAGGCATAATAACATGATACGTCATGTATAGGGTCTAATAATACGGGATATGTCACGAATAGGTATAATTACATGATACGTCATGTATAAGGTCTAAAGAATACGTCGTGCGTCATTCACAGGGAATGATAACACATGACACCCCATGTATAGGGTCTTAAGATTCGGGGTAATGTATAATGTAAAATGACATGATGCGTCAGGCATATGGTATACTAATAATAGGGGTATAATAACTGGGTGTAATAACAAATGATAATAATGATAACAATCATATTCTAATAAAGAGCATGCACATCGTGCGTAGCATTTTAGAGATCATACCGCAATATATTATCAGCAGAAGAAAGAAACTTACGGGAACCGAATGACCCCTAAGGTCAACTGGACCTCGGGTGTCCGGGTGGAACCGTCCAATTCTGGGTCCAAGCAATAAAGCGCCACAGAAAGCAGCTACCCCGCCGAGAACATGAACGGCTCCACTACCAGCAAAATCCTGCACACAACGAAATATTCATATAAACAGGGTAATGTGAATAGGAAACCGTAATAAAGATAAGCATGAATACCACATTGACAAGATCATGTCTCCGCAGTCAAATGTACAAAGCCGTGACTACAAGGTCATGTGTACAAGGTCATGTGTACAAGGTCATGCATGACTAAAACGTTATATTTACAAGGTCAGATCTACAATGATATGTCTACAAGATTATGACTGCAGTGCCATGACTACAATATTATTTATCCTAGGTCATGTAACAACCTCGATCTCAGATTGGTCCACGTGACACTGAACAAATTTCCATATACACCGCGTACCCGGTAGATATTGTTTTCCGATGACCAACAGGCCTTATACCTGTTTGTTTTTATTGATGATAACTAAAATCATTCGATCTCTCAGATAAATGCGTCATCCCAATGTCACCCTCCACTGAATGTGATAACTTATATTCTACAAGGTTCAGTCTAAAAGGTCATGTCTGCAAGGTCGTGTGTACAAGGTCATGACTTGAAGGTTAGGTCTAAAGAGGTCATAAATACATTGACTTTTCTACCCTTGTGACATCGATCTAATGAAAAGAATACGTATGCTGTGATCTGTGTAAGTACCTCGTATCCTATCGTGTAGGTGTCATTGCCACTACCGTACTCAGAGCCCACCAAAAGCCAGCCTTCATCAGCCCAAACCCACCTGGTAACAACGGGGTAGATCACAGCTGAAAACAAAGGTCTTACAGTAAAACAGGCATTATATGAGCAGTAACCATTTGGCTGAAAGGCTCTCAAGGGGACTTTTTACATCACCATATCGCTTTCATTCTGTTCCCATGAATGTTTGTTAGTTCCACGCTTATGTTCATATGGAACTAACAAGCATTCAGTCAGATACTTAATGCAGTGATATAGAATGACTCATGTATTTAATGGTTCATAGGAATAGAATATTTCATATTAATGTCGTATATAAATAATAAAACTTAACTTTTATGGAAGTATAACCTGAAATAACGACGTTTGTATATTTTTTCTATATTTTCACGTTCTATTTTCTCAGGGCAAGATGAAGATGATGCAGAACTACATCACTACATTAAGTGTATTCCCATTTCATAAAATTTGGTTAAATTGTAACGGACAAAGTAACTTTGCATTAAATAGCTGTTAACCTGCCCAATAAAATAATAACAGCTGCTTGGGATAATAAGAGTTTTCACATTGTTATATCATTGTGGGAATTTAGACTAAGGATGTTTGTATGCTCACATATATCATGAATAACGTCAGTGGGTTAGATCACAGATGAAAACAAATATTAGAAAGTCATGGTACGACCATTGGGGTATGTGCATAACTTAATTAGTTTTGACCACTGCCACTTACGGACTTAGTTTTAAATACATGTATTAGTATTTCACGCTTATAGAATTACTACACGACAGCTTTAAATACTGTCTTTGTCATTGGGCCATAACTTAATTAGTTTTGAATACAAAATGCCATTTACTGAGTTAGTTTTGAATACAAAATGCCATTTACTGAGTTAGTTTTGAATACAAAATGCCATTTACTGAGTTAGTTCTGAATACAAAATGCCATTTACTGAGTTAGTTTTGAATACAAAATGCCATTTACTGAGTTAGTTTTGAATACAAAATGCCACTTACTGAGTTAGTTTTGAATACAAACTGCCATTTACTTACTTAGTTTTGAATACAAAATGCCACTTACTTAATTAGTTTAACGTCAAGTATTAGTAATTCACGCTAATAGAATTTCAGGTACATCACGGCGAGCTAGTTTGATCTGAGATGAAAATGTGAAGCAATACAGATCTTTGACGTATAAGACTTTGGTGGGACCCGGGGCATTATGCTCACACAGGAAGATTCATTTTCTACATAAATATGGATTGGAACCACCAGACAAGAAATTCTGGCAAGGTGAATTTATGGACGCACCTCTGCACGTCGCATACAAGACATTTGACAATGTCAATAGTTATGAGTGAGTGAGTTGGGTTTTACTCCACTTTTGGCAATATTCCAGCAATATCACGACGGTGGACACCAGAGCTTCACACATTGTAGCCATTTGGGACTCAAGCCTGGGTCTTCGGCGTGACGAGCGAACGCTTTAACCACTAGGCTACCCACCGCCCCACAATAGTTATGAGGTAAACTTTGTATACTCACATGTGAGAAGAAAGCTGTACACGAAATAGGCCACGAACTCGCACCTCTCAGCCATGGCACCGGACACAATGGTGGCGGCGGTGGCGGCAAAGACGTACTGGAAGAAGAAGGAGGCGAAATCTGTATCCGGGAGGTCATTGGAGGCCCAAAATGAGTAGCCGATGAAACTGTTTCCTTTTCCGTAGGCAAGTGGGTAGCCGATCACCCAGTACGCAATGCCAGCAACAACTGAAACAATGAAGACGATATTATATACAAATATATTACAGTCGAACATCATTGTGCCACAGATGAAGGTTCGTGTTATCCGAGGTTCGGCAAACAAAATGATGATTAAACAAGAAATGCGTAGGGGCTAAACGTTTGCTTCGAGACAACCGGAAGTCCGAGACAGCATGGTTCACTGTATTTATAACGGACCAGGTGCATAATTATTGGACATATATAGGGGTGGTCACTTCGACACAACCGTACCTCTACACAGGGTGGTTCACTGTATTTATGACGGACCAGGTGCATAATTATTGGACAAATATAGGCGTGGTCACTTCGACATATAAATGTTAAGTCTTGATAAATAAGTTTCCCGTCATGCATGCACATCTTTATCACAGCGTCCACTATGGCCAACGATTTGCAGTCGATTGTTGCAAAGGTTGCTAATTTTTTTCTGCTTGAAAAAGACAGAGGTAAACCTTTCATTAGTTTAGAAAGTGTTTATAACAGAACTTGTAGAGCTGTTGGTATGTCTTACCAACAAGTTTACAATATTGTAAACAAATCAGACAAGACAGGGACGTCTCAAAAGCAAAACCGGGACGTAAAACCATCCTTGACAACTTTGACAATGGAGTGCTTAGACGGGCGGTCTACATACTTTATGAGAATAATAATATATATATTCTAAAGAAGCTACACCAGTGGCTTCGTTAAATCTTTGGCCAATGTTCACAACTAGATTAAACTGACCGAATTGCATCCATGTTTTTTCAATGAAATATACTGTTGACATGCAAAACATTTATTAAAACGTTGCACATTTCTACAATCAATCGATAAGATAACACAAGTGATAGGATTCCTTCCAATGTACAGTAATTCGTATGTTTATTTCAAAACAAACACACATACACAAATGATCCCTTACATAACCAATACGTATACTATAGGTACACATATTCAACATTTTGCAGAAAACATCTATTGAGATGACCCCTCGCCCGAAGGTGTGCTCAGGTGTCAATTTCACCTGTCGATACCGTGGACGCTGATGACGTAACACAAAAATTAATGTTTGTATCAAATAACGTCCCACTACCCCTTATATTTCTAAGTGTTTGGTATTTTCATCAGTAAAAAACCATTTTAGGGCATGTCTCAAAATGTATTCCCTCGGTCTACATTAGGTAGATGTTTCTTGAAGTGATATTGGTTATTTAAGTAACTGTAATACCTCTGAATTTTAGATATAAGTCAAAAAGCATTTTTCTAGCATTTCCGACAGTACTTTAGTTCCTTATGAACTTATATAGTCAGATACTTAATGCAGTGATATAGAATGACTCATGTACCTAATAGTGCATAGGAAAATAATATTTCATATTAATGTATATAGGCATAACTTGTGATGACGACTTTTAATATTCACGTTCATTATTCTAAACTAAGGCAAGGATGGATAAAACAGACCTACATCACTACACATTAAGTGTAAACCCATTTCACAAGTTTCGGTTCGTTTGTAATAGCTCATTAAATAGCTGATAACCTGCCAAATGGAATAATAACAGCTGCTTGGGATAAGAAGAGTTTTCATATTGTTATACATATCATTGTGGGAATTTTATGCACATATTTATCATGAATAACGTCAGTGTTGAACAACCGCATGTGAGTCCACGCCCGTTCTGGATACCTCATCAGTTTGCGTCAGTTTTTTTTTCAATCTCATCTAAGTCAACGTCAGTGTTGTACAATTTCATCTGAGTCAAAGTCAGTGACGTTGATTGTCAGTGACGTTGATTCAGATGAGATTGTACAACACTGACGTTGATTCAGATGAGATTGTACAACACTGACGTTGACTCAGATGAGATTGTACAACACTGACAATAGAAGAAAAAACCCAACCTTTCCACATTCTTTCGATTGTACATTTGTGACCATATCATGAGCATAAATTTCTTTCAGCAGCATTACAACAGCAAACGACGAAGATTTGATTATAGTCAGTTTGTCAGAAAATTTACTTTCTGAAATTCATATGAAAACGTCTTAGGTCTATCACTTATTCTCCAATGTCCTAATTACGATGTCATCTCAGAACTCCTTACATGGCAATATATACACACCCGTGCATTAATTAAGCACCACCCTATTTTGAAAATAAGATGTGATGCTAAACAAAAGTTAGGGTATAACCATCAATTTGATCAACCTATAGTTAAAGAAGCTTTTTCCATTGACAGTTTTACAAATACCATAACCTTTTCTATTCTTTATGAAAGAATATGTTGATGAAAATGTGATGGGCTGAATTTTTACCCAAAATAACTATTCCTGCTCAAGCTACACAATTAAATAAAAAATTGACTAAAAATAACAATTCTGTATTATACCAAAAATGTCATTTACACACCAAGTAAGCTTTAATTACTAGTATGCATAACCAGGAAGAACCCGAATGTCAAAGATTCAGAACTTTTTCCAACAATTCAGATTGCTAATTGACATTGCTAAAGGCCACATTAATAAGTTTTGGAATAAATCTTCTCCTTGCCGGATACTAATGATTACAACTAAAATCTGTTTGTTACAACTAAAATCTGTTTGTTTTGTTCGTAAAGCAACTTTTACTGCATTTTAAAAGTTTGCTTTTTTTCAGTTTGACGCTAAATTTTCCTAAATCTTAGTTTACAAACTTTCATCCATTCACTATAAATAACGAATTTATAGGCCACATAACAATCAATTATTAATATCACTTTTCAAAATAAGGTAACTTGTTTTAGGACAGAAAATATCTGAATTAAAGTACATGGTAATTTGAATTATGTTTTCGTTTTTGAAATGTTACATGCCTGCTCTATCAAATTATAAAGGTTATTTTTTGGAAAGAGTTTAGAATTTCATTTCAGACAAAATTAATTGCTAAAAATACACGGTGGTGCTTATTTTATAAACGGATGTACATTTTATCAGTTGGGGGTCAAATTTCGATCCAAACAATTCTCTGTGGTCAAAATTCATGCTCAGCATTGCAAAACATATTTATACTTAAAGCGTGAAAAAAATATATATCCAAAAAAGAGATTTGATTAACAGTTTTGTTTCATACAACATATTCTCACACACAGTTTGTAATCTACTTTTCCAACCACACATCACGTTTAAATGCATCTACTTATTAATGGGTTTATTTTTTTATGCAATGTTATTATGAACGTAGGGATGGAGGTAGGGATGAAGGTGGGTATGGAGGTAGGGATGAACGTAGGGATGGAGGTAGGGATAGAGGTAGGGATGAACGTAGGGATGGGGACAGGGATGAAGGTAGGGATGGAGGTAGGGATGAATGTAGGGATGGAGGTAGGGATAGAGGTAGGGATGAACGTAGGGATGGGGACAGGGATGAAGGTAGGTATGGAGGTAGTGATGAACGTAGGGATGGAGGTAGGGATAGAGGTAGGGATGAACGTAGGGATGGGGACAGGGATGAAGGTAGGTATGGAGGTAGGGATGAACGTAAGGATGGGGACAGGGATGAAGGTAGGTATGGAGGTAGGGATGAGCGTAGGGATGGGGACAGGGATGAAGGTAGGTATGGAGATAGGGATGAACGTAGGGATGGGGACAGGGATGAAGGTAGGTATGGAGGTAGGGATGAACGTAGGGATGGGGACAGGGATGAAGGTAGGTATGGAGGTAGGGATGAACGTAGGGATAGGGACAGGGATGAAGGTAGGTATGGGGGTAGGGATGAACGTAGGGATGGGGACAGGGATGAAGGTAGGTATGGAGGTAGGGATGAACGTAGAGATAGGGACAGGGATGAAGGTAGGTATGGAGGTAGGGATGAACGTAGGGATGGGGACAGGGATGAAGGTAGGTATGGAGGTAGGGATGAACGTAAGGGATGGGGACAGGGATGAATGTAGGTATGGAGGTAGGGATGAACGTAGGGATGGGGACAGGGATGAAAGTAGGTATGGAGGTAGGGATGAACGTAGGGATGGGGACAGGGATGGGGACAGGGATGAACGTAGGGATGGGGACAGGGATGAAGGTAGGTATGGAGGTAGGGATGGACGTAGGGATGGGGACAGGGTTCAAGATAGGTATGGAGGTAGGGATGAACGTAGGGATGGGGACAGGGATGAAGGTAGGTATGGAGGTAGGGATGAACGTAGGGATGGGGACAGGGATGAACGTAGGGATGGGGACAGGGTTCAAGATAGGTATGGAGGTAGGGATGGACGTAGGGATGGGACAGGGTTCAAGGTAGGTATGAAGGTTGGGATGAACGTAGGGATGGGGACAGGGATGAAGGTAGGTATGGAGGTAGGGATGAACGTAGGGATGGGGACAGGGTTCAAGGTAGGTATGGAGGTAGGGATGAACGTAGGGATAGGGGACAGTAGGGATGAACGTAGGGATGGGGACAGGGTTCAAGATAGGGATGGAGGTAAGGGATGGACGTAGGGATGGGGACAGGGATGGGGACAGGGATGGAGGTAGGGATGAACAATAGGGGATGGGGACAGGGATGAAGGTAGGTATGGAGGTAGGGATGAACAATGGGATGGGGACAGGGATGAAGGTGGGTATGGAGGTAGGGATGAGGTGTAGGGATGGGGACAGGGATGAAGGTAGGTATGGAGGTAGGGATGAACGTAGGGATGGGGACAGGGATGAAGGTAGGTATGGAGGTAAGGATGAACGTAGGGATGGGGAGCAGGGATGAAGGTAGGTATGGAGGTGGGGATGAACGTAGGGATAGGGACAGGGATGAAGAGTAGGGTATGGAGGTATAGAGGGATGGACAATAGGGATGGGGACAGGGATGAAAGGTAGGTATGGAGGTAGGGATGAACGTAGGGATGGGGACAGGGATGAAGGTAGGTATGGAGGTGAAGGGATGGGCATGGGATGAATTAGGGACAGAGGATGAGGGACAGGGATGAACGTAGGGATGAACAATAAAGGGATGGGGACAGGGATGAAGGTGGGGTATGGAAGGAGAGAATGGACGTAGGGATGGGGACAGGGATGAAGGTAGGTATGGAGGTGGTGATGAACGTAGGGATGGAATGGGGGATAGAGGCAAAGGATGAACGGAGAGGGTGGGGACAGGGATGAAAGAGTAAGGTATGGGAGGAAGGGATGAACGTAGGGATGGGGACAGGGATGAAGGTAGGTATGAGGTAGGGATGAACAGGGATGGGGACAGGGATGAAGGTAGGTATGGAGATAGGGATGAACGTAGGGATAGGGACAGGGATGAAGGTGGGTATGGAGGTGAAAGGGATGAACGTAGGGATGGGGACAGGGATGAAAGGTATGGAGGTAGGGATGGTAGGGATGGGGACAGGGATGAAGGTGGGTATGGAGATAAGGGATGAACATGGGATGGGGACAGGGATGGGGACAAGGGATGAACATAGGGATGAACAGGGATGGGGACAGGGATGAAGGTAGGTATGGAGGTAGGTATGGACGTAGGGATGGGGACAGGGATGAAGGTAGGTATGGAGGTAGTGATGAACGTAGGGATGGAGGTAGGGATAGAGGTAGGGATGAACGTAGGGGTGGGGACAGGGATGAAGGAGGTATGGGATGGGATGGAACATGGGATAGGGACAAGGGATGGAAGGTAGGTATGGAGGTAGGGATGAGCGTAAGGATGGGGACAGGGATGAAGGTAGGTATGGAGATAGGGATGGAACGTAGGGATGGGGACAGGGATGAAAGGTAGGTATGGAGGTAGGGATGAACGTAGGGATGGGGACAGGATGAAAGGTAGGTATGGAGGTAGGGATGAACATTAGGGATAGGGACAGGGATGAAGGTAGGTATATGGAGGTAGGGGATGAACGTAGGGATGGGGACAGGGATGAAGGTGGGTATGGAGGTTGGGATGAACGTAGGGATGGGGACAGGGATGAAGAAGTAGGTATGGAGGTAGGGATGGACATGGGATGGGGACAGGGATGGGGACAGGGATGAAGGTAGGGATGAACAATAGGGATGGGGACAGGGATGAAAGGTAGGTATGGAGGTAGGTATGGACGTGGGATGGGGACAGGGATGAAAAGGTGGGAGGTATGGGAGGTAGTGATGAACGTAGGGATGGAGGTAGTGATAGAGGTAGGGATGAACGTAGGGGGTGGGGACAGGGATGAAGGTAGGTATGGAGGTAGGGATGAACACTTGTAGGGATGGGGACAGGGATGAAGGTGGGTATGGAGGTAGGGATGAACGTAGGGATGGGGACAGGGATGAAAGTAGGTATGGAGGTAGGGATGGTGGGATGAGGGACAGGGATGGGGACAGGGATGAACGTAGGGATGGGGACAGGGATGAAGGTAGGTATGGAGGTAGGGATGGACGTAGGGATGGGGACAGGGTTCAAAGATAAGGTATGGAGGTAGGGATGGAACGTAGGGATGGGGACATGGATGAAGGTAGGCATATGGGATGAAGGATGGGATGGGGACAGGGATGGACGTAGGGATGGGGACAGGGTTCAAGATAGGTATGGAGGTAGGGATGGACGTAGGGATGGGACAGGGTTCAAGGTAGGTATGAAGGTTGGGATGAACGTAGGGATGGGGACAGGGATGAAGGTAGGTATGGAGGTAGGGATGAACGTAGGGATGGGGACAGGGATGAAGGTAGGTATGGAGGTAGGGATGAACTATGTAATGGGATGGGGACAGGGATGGGGACAGGGATGGACGTAGGGATGGGGACAGGGATGAAGGTAGGTATGGAGGTAGGGATGAACATGGGGATGGGGACAGGGTTCAAAAGGTAGGTATGGAGGGTAGGGATGAACGTAGGGATGGGGACAGGGATGAAGGTAGGTATGGAGGTAGGGATGAACGTAGGGATGGGGACAGGGATGAAGGTAGGTATGGAGGTAGGGATGAACGTAGGGATGGGGACAGGGATGAAGGTAGGTATGGAGGTAGGGATGAACGTAGGGATGGGGACAGGGATGAAGGTAGGTATGGAGGTAGGGATGAACGTAGGGATGGGGACAGGGATGAAGATAGGTATGGAGGTAGGGATGAACGTAGGGATGGGGACAGGGATGAAGGTAGGTATGGAGGTAGGGATGAACGTAGGGATGGGGACAGGGATGAAGGTAGGGACACAGTATGATTGTAACAGTGACTGGCTTAAACTGGATGTGGATGAGCTTTTTTTATGTTGTTACATTGACTGTGATTATATTAAGTGATGACGTGATTGTTTGAATATCAATAAAATTAGCGTATGCTTTTGAAAAGAGGCTTATGGACATATATTTGTGTAACTCACATGAGTCCATGAAATTCTTGATGAGTATGTTGGTGGAGTTTTTGCTTCGCACGGCTCCAGCTTCCAAGAAGGCAAAACCACCTTGCATCACTGAAATATAAATCGTTAAATGCGAAACAAAGCATTTGAAATTGCATACACAATATTCAGAATATCAAATATTCTTATTTTGGATTGGGTATAATGACATGGTTTGTTAGGATTGGTTCGGCAAAGTGATGTAAAGTCTATTTTTGTATTTCCTGTGTAAATTAATCAACTTATCAAAGTCAAAGTGATTTCATCTGGCCACGTCTTCCACACGATGACGCAGTGCAGCAAAGGAATTGATCAATCTCCCTCTCAATCTCAGTCTTCAACTCTTGCCTCCTTCCAATCTCGGCTAAAAACCTATTTTTATAACTGCCTTTCTAGAGTGACTCTTAATACCCACCCATATGTGAGCTTAGAGCATGCATTGAGCATGGAATAATGCGTTGTATAAATTCACTGTTATTATGATGATTATTATCATAATATTTTCGTGCGTGCAAAAGTTATATTAACAATAAGGTCACTTATATGGCGCTGAACTTCACGCCGCACGGGTATGCTCCAGACGCATGAAAAATAATGGACATTGTAACCCCGGAAAGCCCAAACTGCCGGTTAGAAGGTTAATAGTTAAATGGCGTAACCCACAGGGTACCCATTCACTGCTGGGTGAACAGAAGCCATTTTGAATAAACTCACTTGCCTAAGGTGAGACCATATGTGTCACTTGTGTTTCGTTGCAGGGCAGAAAATCTATAAACTCACAATAGTTTAGCTGCAAAACAAGGTCACACAGCTGTTACCAGCATTGCTTAACTTAAACTGATTTAAGTGACCTGGGCTCTATGCACAAGACCACTTCCCACCATAGGCCGAACACCACCATTAATTATGCACTAAATGCACACACTCAGTTTAACTGTGTACAAAGTCTTGTTGGATCATTGCGACCAAATACAAGTGACACGCAAGGCAAACATCATCTGCAATCTCTAAATGGTGGCAACTCTCCAGGAGACACAACCTGTGTATGTAATCCAGGTGTTTACGAGACATCTGTTTAATGTTACTGTACAAGGTTTATCCAGAAATGTGTCTGTCAAGTAATATTCATTCACTAGTTGATCGATGAATAATGTGAAACACTGAACTGAAGGGAGTTTACCCAGTTTGTATGTCTTACACATTTGGAAATTGAAAGAACAGTTATTCAATTCTGTTATGTGCATATACGATCATCATTCATTTCTGCATCAGTTTGGAAAATTATTTCTGGCTAGGCTATATATATTGTGTGAAACATATATTCATTTATTTAGTTTATCGATTTTAAAGATATCTAAGATACCAATCAACAGTTGTCTATTATGCTATTGGAAAAAGCATTTAGATGTATTTTGTGAGTGGCAACGTATTAAAGCGTCAGTAGACTACGCTTTCAATATATCGCTAACTTATGATATTTTCAACTGAAAATCAAAACATGATAAAATCAATTGAGATGTATAGTTTCATTTGCCCATGAGTATACTGTTGATGGTATGGAGTTTGCATACCCGTTTTCTCTTGGGTATTGAATGACATGTAATGGTAATCACTTCATCATGTACCTTCAGTTAACAGCAATTGTACATGGGTCGCCTAAATCAGGAAACAACAACATCACATGGGTTCCTGTCTCTAGATCGGGTGGCTTCAGTTTACAGGCTACTGCAGATGTATCGCCTAAAGCAGGAAACAACACCACACATGGGTTCCTGTCTCTAGATCGGGTGGCTTCAGTTTACAGGCTACTGTAGATGTATCGCCTAAAGCAGGAAACAACACCACACATGGGTTCCTGTCTCCAGATCGGGTGGCTTCAGTTTACAGGCTACTGCAGATGTATCGCCTAAAGCAGGAAACAACACCACACATGGGTTCCTGTTTCTAGATCGGGTGGCTTCAGTTTACAGGCTACTGCAGATGTATCGCCTAAAGCAGGGAAACAACACCACACATGGGTTCCTGTCTCTAGATCGAGGTGGCTACAGTTTACAGGCTACTGCAGATGTATCGCCTAAAGCAGGAAACAACACCACACATGGGTTCCTGTCTCTAGATCGGGTGGCTTCAGTTTACAGGCTACTGCAGATGTATCGCCTAAAGAAGGAAACAACACCACACATGGGTTCCTGTCTCTAGATCGGGTGGCTACACTTTACAGGCTACTGCAGATGTATCGCCTAAAGCAGGAAACAACACCACACATAGGTTCCTGTCTCTAGATCGGGTGGCTACAGTTTACAGGCTACTGCAGATGTATCGCCTAAAGCAGGAAACAACACAACACATGGGTTCCTGTCTCTAGATCGGGTGGCTACAGTTTACAGGCTACTGCAGATGTATCGCCTAAAGCAGGAAACAACACCACACATGGGTTCCTGTCTCTAGATCGGGTGGCTACAGTTTACAGGCAACTGCAGATGTATCGCCTAAAGCGGAAACAACATCACACATGGGTTCTTGTCTCTAGATCGGGTGGCTTCAGTTTACAGGCTACTGCAGATGTATCGCCTAAAGCAGGAAACAACACAACACATGGGTTCCTGTCTCTAGATCGGGTGGCTACAGTTTACAGGCTACTGCAGATGTATCGCCTAAAGCAGGAAACAACACCACACATGGTTTCCTGTCTCTAGATCGGGTGGCTACAGTTTACAGGCTACTGTAGATGTATCGCCTAAAGCAGGAAACAACACCACACATGGGTTCCTGTCTCTAGATCGGGTGGCTTCAGTTTACAGGCTACTGCAGATGTATCGCCTAAAGCAGGAAACAACCACACATGGGTTCCTGTCTCTAGATCGGGTGGCTTCAGTTTACAGGCTACTGTAGATGTATCGCCTAAAGCAGGAAACAACACCACACATGGGTTCCTGTCTCAGATCGGGTGGCTTCAGTTTACAGGCTACTGCAGATGTATCGCCTAAAGCAGGAAACAACACCACACATGGGTTCCTGTTTCTAGATCGGGTGGCTTCAGTTTACAGGCTACTGCAGATGTATCGCCTAAAGCAGGAAACAACACCACACATGGGTTCCTGTCTCTAGATCGGGTGGCTACAGTTTACAGGCTACTGCAGATGTATCGCCTAAAGCAGGAAACAACACCACACATGGGTTCCTGTCTCTAGATCGGGTGGCTTCAGTTTACAGGCTACTGCAGATGTATCGCCTAAAGAAGGAAACAACACCACACATGGGTTCCTGTCTCTAGATCGGGTGGCTACACTTTACAGGCTACTGCAGATGTATCGCCTAAAGCAGGAAACAACACCACACATAGGTTCCTGTCTCTAGATCGGGTGGCTACAGTTTACAGGCTACTGTAGATGTATCGCCTAAAGCAGGAAACAACACAACACATGGGTTCCTGTCTCTAGATCGGGTGGCTACAGTTTACAGGCTACTGCAGATGTATCGCCTAAAGCAGGAAACAACACCACACATGGGTTCCTGTCTCTAGATCGGGTGGCTACAGTTTACAGGCAACTGCAGATGTATCGCCTAAAGCAGGAAACAACATCACACATGGGTTCTTGTCTCTAGATCGGGTGGCTTCAGTTTACAGGCTACTGCAGATGTATCGCCTAAAGCAGGAAACAACACAACACATGGGTTCCTGTCTCTAGATCGGGTGGCTACAGTTTACAGGCTACTGTAGATGTATCGCCTAAAGCAGGAAACAACACCACACATGGTTTCCTGTCTCTAGATCGGGTGGCTACAGTTTACAGGCTACTGTAGATGTATCGCCTAAAGCAGGAAACAACACCACACATGGGTTCCTGTCTCTAGATCGGGTGGCTTCAGTTAACAGGCTACTGCAGATGTATCGCCTAAAGCAGGAAACAACACCACACATGGTTTCCTGTCTCTAGATCGGGTGGCTTCAGTTTACAGGCTACTGCAGATGTATCGCCTAAAGCAGGAAACAACACCACACATGGGTTCCTGTCTCTAGATCGGGTGGCTTCAGTTACAGGCTACTGCAGATGTATCGCCTAAAGCAGGAAACAACACCACACATGGTTTCCTGTCTCTAGATCGGGTGGCTTCAGTTAACAGGCTACTGCAGATGTATCGCCTAAAGCAGGAAACAACACCACACATGGGTTCCTGTCTCTAGATCGGGTGGCTTCAGTTTACAGGCTACTGCAGATGTATCGCCTAAAGCAGGAAACAACACCACACATGGGTTCCTGTCTCTAGATCGGGTGGCTTCAGTTTACAGGCTACTGCAGATGTATCGCCTAAAGCAGGAAACAACACCACACATGGTTTCCTGTCTCTAGATCGGGTGGCTTCAGTTAACAGGCTACTGCAGATGTATCGCCTAAAGCAGGAAACAACACAACACATGGGTTCCTGTCTCTAGATCGGGTGGCTTCAGTTTACAGGCTACTGCAGATGTATCGCCTAAAGCAGGAAACAACACAACACTTCACAACATATTACGGTATGGCCTCTTGTCCCTTGGGGTTCAAGTCGCTACTGTAGATATCTCAAATATAGCAAGTAACACCGTGTAAGAATAGTTTTTCTTTTTTGACATAGTCGAACATGGACAAAAACGTTTTCTTTTCGGCTTAGCAAAACGATGTATTATGAAAATACTATTCTGTTTCTTAAAATTGCTGAATTTTTTAAAAATAGATTAACAAAAATGAAAGACAGCTTTCCCTGGTCAAGCTCGATGTTCTGACAAAACCCCACGCACCCCACCTCTGGATCCACCCCTGACGAACTGGACGCACAAAACCACACACACTCCACGTGAAACTGCTACAACGGAATTACCTTGCCGACATAATTCAATCTGTCATTGTTAATGAATTAAGAAAACCCTTTTAAAACTTGACAGAAAACAGCTGTTCGATTTAGCTGAGATTTATGTGTCCCGCCGTATTTGTTGACTTATAAGCAACGCGCAGTGTTTATATGTAAGGGATATTGATAAAAGGTTTTTTTGGATTAGCTTTAAGAAATGACAGGTAAATGAATTACATACTTCC